GTTTCTCTCTCTCCCTCCCTATGTTCTGGCCAGCAAATCCTCCAAATAAAATTCGTGACTCAGTACACTGCTGTCTGGCGGATGCTGCTGTGTGCAAATTCACACACTGTCGCAAGCACATTACTGAAATAAAATCCTGGGAAACGCTTTGTGACGTCTCTAAGGGGTGGTGGGGGGGGGGGGGGCGGAGGTGGGTGGGGGTCGGAGAAAGAGGGCAGCAGCAAGAGAGGAAAAGGCAGCTTTTTCCTTCTTTTTTTTTAAAAAAAGAATATTCGAAACTCTTTTAACATACGTCGGAAAAACGAACCGGTCCTGATGCAACAGTAATCACGCCAGACAATAGCTGCCACTGTTAACAGTTCAAACGGCAATAAAGGGCAAGTGTGTAGGAAGATATTTGTTCAGGACTTAGTTACTGTTAAATTGTGTAAGAGAACTCGAAGAGTGCCAAAAACCCGCAGCACAAAAGAAGATGTATTGAAATTACAAAGCAACCCTGCCCGCTGAACGGAATACATTCATTCGGAAAAACAAACGCAAAGCACTCAACAGCAACAATAGCCTTCGGTCACATTGTTCGATTGTGCGTACTCAGCAGGTTGTTTTTTTTTAACCCATTTGATCAAAATAGAAGCCGTGGATACTTCAAGCCTACAGCGCTCTCGGTTATCTTACGGTGCTATTTTTTTTTCTTTCCGAGCGGTAAATGAGACGGTTTCAGCTCCCGAGTCGGGGCTTGAACTCACAATCCACGCTGAAACGCCAATGGGTCCTGGGAGGAGCTACCGGGTTATCCTTCGGACGGGATGTTGAAACGAGGTACCGCTCAGCGGTCTCCGGTCTGCTTCACGTCGCTCCGCCTCGCCCCCCCCACCCGCCCCACCATTGGGCGGGCGGGCCTTCAGCCACTCTGCCCCCACCCTCTGGAACTCCATCCCACAGTCCCTCCGCCTCGCCCTCTCCCCCTTCAAGACCCGTCTCAAGATCCTCCTCTTCCACCGTGCCTTCGGTCGCCCTCCTACCCCTTCCTGCCCCCACCACCCTCCCCGATCCCCACCTCCAGCTCGGGTCCGAAACACTGATTGTCCAGCGCCTTCGGATGTCCTCCCAACGCGAAAGGCGCTTTACACGTGGAATTTTCTTCTTCTTGTTGATTTCCTGTTTTCGGGTGGATATTAAAGGTCCCCCGACACTATTCCAAAACAGGAGAGTTTTTCCTGGTGTCCTGGTCAACGTTCCTCCATTTAAATTGGTTGTTCACCTCGCGGCTTGATTGTGGGACCTTACTGTTGACAAAAATGATTGCCATTTGCCTGCACTTGACAGGTCATAAAAATAAGGCACTCCGGGAAGGGTGCAACGTGATACAGTGCTAGAAAAAGCAATTTTCTAACAAACGATTCACCAGTTCGACTTTCTGTGAATCATGTGCCAGTGTCATTCCGCACTGACTGTAGCTTTTCACAGCGCTCATTCAGAGTCAGTTTTGAGATGAATTTAAACCATCTGGTTGTTCATTTCTTCCTTTTGTCGAAAACCTGCCAAAGACTCTTTAAAAAGCGAGTAAAAAGGCTGTAATTTAACCTCGAAGTTCAGAGGGACAGCCGTAAACCACTTGCACTTAACTCTCAGAGTTTATGATCACATCTAGACTCCCAGGTTTAATTTAATGCTCCTTTCGGACCTTTTATAATTCTATGTACATTCAGGATACATTACAAATTAGAACAATGAATACTATCAAGGCCTTTCGTACACGGACTCACCTATTTTACCAGTAAATCATGTCCTGTTGATTTTGTTGTGACTCATTCCATTGTAAGCTTTGAGCTCATAGCCTTCGGCTGACAAGCCAAAGCACTGTCAATGGTGCTGTCCTTCAGATGAGATGCTAAACCGAGGTATCGAGTTCCTCCTGGTGTCCTGGCCAACAATCCACCGAATAAAATTGGTCTTTCACTTTCGTGGCTTTTTGTGGGTCATTGCTGTGCGCAGAATTGTCTGCTACATATGCCTACAAATACACAGTCACTACGCTTTACAGTAAAATCCTTTGAAGCGCTTTGAGACATCTTTACAATGATAATCCTTGTAATAATAATCCTTGCATTCGATATAGCGCTTTATCACAATTTTGAGACGACACAAGGTCAGATGGAGAATATTATTAGAACTATTATTATTATTATTATGATTATTATAACTAAAGATGCCTTTACACAGCAAAAGTAAAGGTTTGCAATCATATACCCTCTTAATCCCTGCTCCTCCTCCTTGTCCTGATGGCATTGACTTTTGTTGGGTACTAATCCATGGGCTGCATCTGATACCTCAACCGAATGGCCATTCTCCATGTGTGAACTTGGAACTGGCAATTGCGATCAAGGAAGTGTCCTACAAACCATTTTTTTTAAGGGATTATTACCGCTGAAAAGCAATCCGACAATCGACTAACATCCGTGTTCCTACCTTCCTGCTCGTGAAACAGAGGTGTGTGGAGTTCGGAAACGTGCTTAAAGTTTCGCCCCCTGCCCGGGAATCAACTCGCTTGCGAGGCGAGCTCTCTAACCACTAAGCTACAGGACTCCATGGAGTCCTTGCGCTAGGATTGTTCAATCAAAAGTTCCGTGCACATAATTAGACAGTTTAAGGCTGGCCACAGAGCCCAAAGTCTCTGCCACAACTTGCTCTGGCTCAGACTCCTGAGCCTTGCTGCTGCTCTCTTGCTTGGTCGACTTCAACCCTATGTAAAGAAGATTAAGGCAATTTCAATGAAAACATATTTCCGAGTATTTTCACCGGGGTTTGTGATTTATGCCTGTTGCTACCGTGATAGTCTCGGCCACAAAATACAGTCAATTTACTTTCCAGTATAATTCAATGAATCGCTTTGAGACGGTTTCGAAGACGTGATAAGGCGCTGTATCAGCAAGTATTATTATTATTATATGTACAGTGCTGCTGAAAACCACAACGAAGAGATCATGAACCACTTATTTGTGGCGCTGCTTTGAACACAGCGGAGACTTTGAAAACCGTTTTTCCTCCATTCTATTGCCTCAGCCCTCAACGCCACACACTCCAGACCCTAATCTCCACCATTCCTTCCCACTCCCAAATAGCTGAGAAGTTCATAAAAACACTGTTTACGGCACAGAAGGAGGTCATTCAGACCATCATGTCTCTGCTGGCGATAATTCCCCGATGACAATGTTCCACGTTCCTTGGCCCTCGCTCCCTCCCTTGCTCCATCGAGGCATGTCTCAAGGCCCTCCTCTTCCACCGTGCCTTCGGCCAACCACCTACTCTCCCTTCCCTCAATTATTGAGGGTGGGGGTGGGGGGGGAGGGGGGAGGAATCGGGATCGAGGAAGGCGGAGGGACTAAAAAGGTGCTGCTCGGGCAAGCAATAATTTTAGTGGTTCCTGTGTGTTGGAAAAAGAACCTCACAATGTAATAATAATAATAATAATCCTTGCATTGGATTTTGAGTCTTATCACGGCTTTGAGACGTCTCAAAGCGCTTCACAGAATATACTGCCCAGTGTATATTGGGCAAAATGTGGCAGCCAATTGCACACAGGAGTGAGCCACAAACAGTCGTGGATTGAGTGACCACATTATTATTATTATTACTTTAAGGGGTTATTAGCCCCAGAAATGTGATCTGCCAATCGACTAACAACCGGGTTCCTATTCAGTGCTCTGCACTTTATCTGCCCAATCCTTCAATTTCAGGGTTAAATCCAAGCATCAATTCATTAAATCACCTCAACCTCAAGATAAATATAAAGAGCAAAACTGATGCTCTGTTTAGTTCTCACCCCTGACGTCACTAGTTCACCCTCAATAAATAATGCGCTGTGAAGTGCGGCAAGATATTCTGTGGTAGACAGCCAATTCTATTCACTGTGTTCGTCCTTTAAATCAATTCACTGATTTGAAACAGCAAACGCAATCGTTCTGTGGTATTTAATTATCACACAGCAGCATCATGGTAAAAGTTTGAGCATGCTTATATACAGTGGTGTACGGTAATCAATAGCTGTGCAGTTATCCATTATCCACAAAGCCCTGTAGGAAAATGCATGCGCGGTTGTGGACATGGGGTTGTTAACAGGAACCAGGTGTGGCTGTGATGTCAAATACCCCGCTGACACTCACTGCCAAGGATCACTTATGAAGCATGAATGATGTACTGAATGGTTCCTTTGCCCCCTTGAAACCAGAGCCAAGTCGAAGGGAAAATGAGCCAAAACTGCTTTCGGAGACAAAGGGTTGGGAGAAATTTGTGGCAGAAATGTGTCGAGAGAAAAACCTTTCAATATCTTGAGTCAACGCATTGCAAGATGCCACTCCTAGCTGATTCCCCTTGCTCCGGCTATTGTGAGAATGAGAAAAATCATGAATAGATTGCACCGCTCCTCTCAAATCACTTAAACTGGGTCATCCCACTGGGAAAGTATCAAAAGACTCTGACAACCACACCAAGTAGCACTTGTGTTGTGCATTGGTTTGAAAACAAGACCCTTTTACTTCCAGCATTGAAGAATACGTACTTAGACACTCGATTGGCACATTCGTATAACACAGGAGGAGGGGAAAGGGAACGTTACCTTAAATGAACCAAAAAAAAGGATGACTGAAAAAGGTTGGATTTCTTTTAACTGTTGATGTCAAACGACTTGCACTGCAAACAACTGAAAGAACCTTTACAATGAATGCAACAGTTTGAAACGCTGAGAAATGAATCACTCCTTTCATACACCTGATGTGGTATTGTACAATTATCAAACATAAATCGATGTTTATGCGCTGACAATGTGGAAATATGTTTTCGGGAGAGTAGCAGCACCAGCTGCTGATGGGCTAATGTACTGTAGTTGAATGGGAAAAGTTGGAAATGAAAAGGACAAATGGGATAGTGCTTGAGCTGCAAAGCGAATAGATCAGAGAGGCCAACAAGGTGCGAGCAAGTGCAGAATTGGAACACAAGGTTACCTTCGCTTGATGACCCAGAGAGATCTATGACAACGTACACCCTTCCTTCTGGCTCCAGGTCTATCTGCAATTGCAAAAACAAAAGCACAGATTAAACCTAGTTCAGTCTCACATATAACTGATGATTTATAACGGGTGGGACAAAGGGAACAATGTTCAAAGCAATTCTCAAATGAGCCTCAACTTTGGTTCATCTCTTTTTGTAGCGATCGCCAACACACTGGGAATGATGTGTGGCGCTATTCAAGAAAAGGGATAATAATAATCCTTGCAATTTGATATAGCGCCTCGTCGCGTCTTCGAGACGTCTCAAGGTGCCTCGCAGAACACACTTGAACAAAACGTGGAATCTAATATTCCTGTATCTATCCAAGGTTTTATAAAATCTTCCCCATTTTGTAGCCAAGATGCCTATATTATATTCCTGATTCACTTGGGTTACAAAGGCGATTAGAAAGTATTTGCAAACTGTTTTATGCACGCAGCAAATGAGACCTCAGTGCAGACTGATCTCAGAGCACATGGTAACTGGGTGAAGTGCTGCAGCAGTTGTACAAGAGGTTGAGGATTGTCAGTGCTCTGAATTTCATGGGTCTGGAAATAGCAGCACTCGGGTTCTGAGCAGCAGCATATAGCAATGAACAGGCTCTGAGCTGCTTGAGACTGGATATAACAGCAGAAGGCTCAGGGCTGTACAGGTCTGGATAGAGTACAATATATTCCAAATTAAACATACAAATAATAGATAATTCTATCACATTGTAGGACCTAAAACATCAAAATGGTCCACAGATAATTGTTTCCAAGTATAGTGACTGCTTTCGTACTCAAACATGGCAGTTATTTTACTCAGAGCAGGGACCAACAAATAGCCAAAAGGTCAAGAACCAATTTTATCTGGAGAGGTGTTGGCCAGGACACTGGGGGGAAAAAAAACACTCCAGTGAATCTTTTTCAATGGTCTCAATGATATCTTTAATGTCCACCTGAGCAATCAGATGGGACCTTTCATCCAAATGATGACACCTCTAGGAATTCAATACTCTCCCAGCAGCGCACTGGAATGTCAGCCTGGACTGTGAGCTCAAGTCCAGAACCAACAACTTCCAAACCCAAGGGTGAGAACGCTGCCAATTGAGCCAAGCTGCCACAGAAATACAAGATGATAAGGTGCAGCTCACGTTACAAAGAGTCATGAGTCATTTACAAAGAATGTGTAGCACGGAAATGGGCCCAAACATTCCATGCCAGTGTTTATACTGTTCTCACCCATTCCTTATTCCCTCCCATTCTCATTGCAGACTTCCCCAACCAATGGAAATAGCCTATTTATGTCAATTTTATGGAACCCTTTTATAATTTTAAACACCTCTATCAGACCCCCCCCCCCCTTAAACATCTCTTCTCTAGCAAGCAAAGACCTGATCAATGCAATCTATCCTGATAGTAGTAGCCCGCCAGCCTTGGTAATGCACTCGTAAGCCTATACTGTACTCTTTCCATCGCTGCTTTGTCCTTCCTATAGCGCGGAGACCAAAATTGGGCACAATACTCCAAATGTGGTCTGACCAAGGTTTTGTATAAATTCATCCCTTGAACTCCCACCCATTTGGTGGGATCAAGAGACGTTTACATTTATTCAGTTTCAATAGGATCAGCAAATATTAAAAATATAATCAGTCCGATAAAGTGCAGTAGACGATTACTAACACATCTGGCAAGGCCACCTCTGGTACTTCATTAATAATCACTTTGGCACACACTGTGCTGTCTCTTCTGATTAGAGAGGAGAAAGACCAGCCATTCCTGTCACCAAGAGTCTTTATCACTGACCCCGACAAGGAATTGCTCTCCACTAATGTAAAATATTTCAAATATTTTGTCCTCAGGATAGGAATGTTTCTAGGCTGGGTCCAAGTTTTGTCACACAGCAGGAATCAGAAATATATGGAGGGTTTAATGTGTGGGTTGGGCCCACAGCCCACAGGCATTTTGCCAAGCCCACATTTGAAACCCCAATGTGTACTTAATTATAATAATCCTTGCATTTGATATGCCTTGTCATGTCGTCGAGACGTCTCAAAGGGCTTCAGAAGACTTAACTGTGAAGAGTATTGACTGTATATGGGGCAAACATGGCAGCCAATTTGCACACAGGAATGTCCCACAAACCAGCCATAAAGTGAATGACCAATTTTATCTGGGGGAACAGTCAGCCAGGAAACGAGGAGAAACTCCCTCCTCTTTTCGAATAGTGCCGCGGTATCTTCAACGTCCGCCTGAACAAGAAGGCAGGATGTCGGTTTATCATCTCTTCCAAAGGACATCATCTCCAACAATGCAGCACTGAATTAAGCTCAAATCTCTGGTTCTGTGGTTCTAAATCCAGACATGGGTCTTGAACCCACAACCTTCTGACTCGGGGGTGAGAGTGCTACAAACTGGGCTAGGCTGGCACCTACTTCCAACAACTAAACAGTGATTAAAGCCGTAATGAATGTCGTAGCCCAGTTCTGTACATCAATTGCTTTGTATAATTTAAGTATGAGTTACTGCTCTCCAAGGTGGCTCTCTTGCTAACGTCACTGGATGCTGTGACACTGACCCAGAATATCAGATTTCTGGAGTAATCCAAGCGGGAGGTGACGAGGAGTATAGATAAGGAAAAGGAGAGGGCCAAGGATGGAGCCCTGGGGTACCCTGGGTGGGGGCGGAAGGAGAAACCATTTGCTGAGATGAAATGGAGGCGGTTGGTTAAGTAGGACTCAATAAGGGCTAAATAAGTGCAGGTTGAAGATCTCATGACAAAGCTCATCTCAACTGAGTGCTTCTCCACCCACAGGAGTGTTGTAAGAACGATCCTCAACAGCTGTGTGATTATTTCTCCTTCCAACTCTCAGAAATTTGTTGCTTACCCCCTTTCACATACAACTCCTCCACTACCCCCTTTTTTACCCTCTCCTGTCTCACACTCCTCCCTCCGTCCTTCCCTCCCTCCCGCTTGCTTACAGATACACAATGGCTACATCTGCCCACAATTCCCTGTAAATCTTAGCGCTCCAAGACACCACCGCATGTGAAGGGCACTACACAAATGCAAGTTGTTGTTGTTGTAACGCACTTTGAAACATGTAGACATTGTAGGCTCAGTATCAAATAGAAAGATCATTATTTATTCCACCCCAGGCATTTTTCTATTTCCCATACTCATTTCCTCGCTCACTCGTCCATCTAACACTCTCCTGTCTCGCACACCCGCCCCTTCGCTCCTCTCTAATTCTTCGACCCCGACACTCCTTCACGCATCGATCTCTACCTCTCCCACTCCCTCCTCATGTGCTGCCACACAAACGATAACACCAAAGGCTCAGTCGGTCACACTTGGGGCAGGAACAAATCCCAGTGATCAGTGACAGCACAGCTGGAGTTCTGTGGTGCAGAAATTTGTTTGCTAATGTGCACAGAGCAAACAAATGAAATCAAATTCTATCTCCCGCCAGGCGCAATCTGACTTGTTCCCCGTCTGCACAGGAAACCATTTAAAAACTTGTCAAATGATCTGAACCTCTGATCTACCACAGGGAACGTGCACACAAACACAACACAGGCACATAGAGACGTAATGCGTACACTGTGACGTGAATCGACTGTACATTTTGTGGGCGAAACACGGCAGCCAATTGCGTCCAGCAGCGTCCCACAAAAAAGTCGTGGATTGAGTGACCAATTTTTTTTTTTTGAAGGGATTATTATCCCCTGAAAAGCGATCCGCCAATCGACTAACAACCGGGTACCTACTTACTGCTTGGTAGTACAGCGCCTTGGGACGTCCTCCCGACGTGAAAGGCGCTCTATAAATGGAATCTTGTTGTTGTTGTTGTTGGTAAACAGAGGCGTGTGAAGTAAGGGAAACTTGCCCAACTTTTCACCCCGCCGGGAATCGAACCCAGGTCTCTCGCTTGCGAGGCGAGTGCTCTAACCACTGAGCTACAGGACTCCACACATACACACACACACACAGATACACACACACACACACAGGTTTTCACTTTCAATCTGCCTATGAATAGCTGAATGTATTACTAACCCTTCTCAGATATCACAAGATGTTTTGGTGTTAAAAGGGTTAAAACACTGAGATTTATAACTGAAAGCAACTGCATTTCTGCAATCAGCTTTAAGATTAAAGTTGGTTTGTGTTTCATTTTCCAACTTATTTTTCTCCCTGCTGGCTCTTTGCCATCTTCCTATGCCCTTAGTACAACACAATGCAGGAACTCAAGAGCATGGGGGTCGGTAGATTGTACAGAACAGTATAAAATTACATTTGTATAGCGCCTTTCGCGTCGGGAGGACGTCCTAAATTGTTGGAATTGCAGTATTAGGAGCAGGAACCGTGGCTGATTCATTCCTCTCCCTATCCTCGGGGTGTGAGACCAATGGTAACATTGCAACTGCTGTGTTGAGTGAGCACAGAACAGGCCAGGATTGGAACCTGTAAACTTCTGGGAAGCAATGTTGTACTTAGCGATACTTGTTTTATCCAATAGGTTATCAGAAGAACCAAGAGTCTCTTTTAATATATTGGGAGCGAGGTGAGCAGTGACGGTCTAGCTACAATCCATTAACCTCCGACCCAAGCTGCCTGACTAAATTAAACGGCATGCATGCACTGAACGGCAAAAGGAAGAGACAACCTGCATTTTTTTTTAAGCGCCTGAATTAAACGGAAAATCTCAAAGTGTTTTACATTAACTATGTCAAGCGAAGTGACTGCTTTTTCTTGTCGGCACTTTGGCAGAAATTTTGCACACCACGAGGATCCACAATGAGCTATGAAGTGAATGATCATTTTGTCGGGAGGATGGCTGGCCAGAGAACCTGAGGGACACATTCCTCCCTCTTCAAACAGTGTCACAATATTTTTAATGTCCCCCTGAAGAACAATAATAACCCTCGTGTTTTGATACGGCGCCTTGTCACGTCTTCGAGACGTCTCAAAGCGCTTCATATATACTGTAAAGTGAATTGACTTGTATATTTTCTGGGCGAAACCAAAACAAC